CTCACTCAACATTATTTTAAAAATAATCAGTTCAACAAAATCAGCAATAGAAACATGTCTGTGATAAAAGGAAGGCTAAGTCAAGTTGTGATTTACTCATTAGTGTAAGGGGCGAGAGAAGACCTGGGAAAATCTTCAAAAAGTAAAGGATGTTGAAGTCACAAAATCAAGACATCTAGGAGACCCAGACAAGTAAAGCAAAATAATGAACTAGAATGGATTTTGAAAGAGCAGCATGAACATAATGTTAAGAGGAACCAGCATTCAGCTTCAGCGCCAGGAAGTCCATCAGGAGAGCTGGGTTCTGAAGACTAGAGAAGGTGCATTCCTTCTCTAAAGGGAACAGCTATTAGTCAGCACCTAGAGATCATTGTCTTCTTTGCATGATGACACGGTTTCTAGATATTACAGTTCCTCAAAAGGTGAACGTTGATGACTTTACACTCTAGCTTTATTTTATTATGTGAAATATATACCCCTACACATTTTATGTTGAATGAGGGGAAAAGGTACCATTAATAGAGATATACCCCATAGTATATGATTTCTGGTAAATACTGAGTGAGGGAGTTCAAGTTTGTCTTATTCATCTCAGTATCTCTTGCAACTGGCACAGGATGGCTTGAGATGTAGTAGGTAAATCATAAAATTTTTGCTGAATAGATGAACAGTTTAATAAAGTTGAGCTGCATTTTTAAAAGTGAATATGAGTTTTCAAGGTAGGTAGATCAGAAGTTCATCCTGGTCTTGATGATGACACATACAAAAGGCTGGATGCTTATAAAAAGCAGCATGTGTGAAGAATTATGTATAAGTCAGAATCCTAGGAGCTTAGAATTTGCAATATTGAGGAGAGGAACCCGAAAAGGTGGGAGGGAGAAGGACAATGAAAAAAAAAAACAAGTATCATGATAAAGGGCTTTTATTTTCATTTTACAGGAATACATCTTAGGAAGCCGTCAAGGCTTAAGCAGGAATGAAAGATGATTCAGTTTGCAGTTAGAAAGGACAAGTGGAAGTGTGTTCATCAGAAAAGAGAGATAAGGAGATCATTCTGAATCTTGCCTTTTTAAAATAACTTCCACCAAGGGATTTTTGGGTTTCTCAAGTACATATCATCAGAGCTCTAGAAAGCAGCTTGAGGAGTGAAGCATCAAGCTCCTCCCCAGCTGTGAGGAAAGAACACGTGGTTGAGCACACCATGTCCTACTGGCTTCTCCCGCAAGCAGTCGAAGTTGGTCATGTGTGTTAAACTAGAAAATGAAAGACAAACTGAAGAACCAGATTCTTAATTCTGACTTAAGCTCATTTATTACAACGCAAACCAAATAAATTCTTCCCACACCTAGGTGACACTGAACAGCATTGTACGCCAAATAATTTTAGGTCAAGGAGAGATGAAAAAAGATAAACATGTGGAAGGAGCAGCTTTCCTTAGATCAGGCACAGGAAAATCCAGGAAAAGTAGTCACTGCCAGGAAAGAAGCAAAAATCCATGGAGTTTGAATTTCTGCCTTTCATCCTCAGCATGATTATTAGCTGGAACAAGGAAGCTACTGGCCTCCCAATGCAGAGCAGGATGGACGACAAGGACTGAACACTTGTGTCAGAGGTTGGCATCCACTGAAGAGAGGACGCAGAGGTCTGAGGCTGCTGGACACAACACTAAGGGGTTGAGGACCACAAGGCAAGCAATTCAAGGGGCAGCATCCATAGGTGAGGAGGCTCAGGGGTCGGCAGCTGCTGGACGCATAGCTCAGAGGTCTGCAGGACACTGGGAGGCAGGAGCCAGAGATGTAAGAAGCAGGAAGAAGGTTGGTCCCTTGGCAGGGTCTGGGCACATAGCAAGCAGTGGAAGGGCAGCTGGAAGTCTCACAGAGGCTGGGCTCCCAGGTGGCTGGCTGACAGCTGGTAGATTCGCTGCAGGTCTCTTGGCAGTTGTTCAGGGGCAAGGTCTGGTCGGGATAGCTGCTGGGCAAGCAGAGGACATCTCCACAGCTCACATTGGTAGAGCAGAGGGCAATGGAGGAGGGAAGAGAAATATGACAGAGATTTCCGGAGGATCCCAAGCTGTAGTTTCCAGAGCAGTAGTTGTGGCAAGACATAGTGAGATTTCGAGAGCAGGCTGTGGTTGAATGGAAAGAAGTGATGGCTCAAGTTTCTCATTCGGCTGCCTCCCTCATATACCTCTAGAAGGTGATGATTGTGTACACAGACTCTCTTCCTGTTTGTTGTATGAGGCTGCATCAGAACTCTTTATTATAGCCCGGAAATAGTGCCCCCACCGCCCATAAAACTGAATGTCTTCCATTGATTAAGTATGTCTATAAAGCAGTGTGACTGAATTTTAATAGGATCTCTGCTTCTTAAATTATCCAACCAAAACAGACATTTTGAAGGTAACTTACTTATTTGACTTATAACCACCACTGCATAAACATTCTTGGAATTGTCTTTAAAAGTTGTAGTAAACTTCTTTGAAACAGTGGGAAATTGTTTCTCTTTGAGGGGAAATCCTGTGCTTTTTTGGAAACTGTCAAAAGAAGAAATGTGAAAGCACTTATGTCATAAAAGAATTAAAAAATCCTAAAATCTATACGGTTTGGGGCAGAAAGAGGTTAAGAGTGGTAGAATACAGAAAATTTCCAAGTGCCAAAATTGCTTTTGCCTTATTTTAGAATCCTGGTGGAAAGTGACTTTCCACCAAAATATCTTTATTTCAAAAAATCATGGTCATTTTTTTCATTCAATAAATAAATAAAAAAAAACTGAGTCAAGTTGAAATTGTGATTTATGTGTTCTTAATACAAATAAATAAATTGGGCCCAGTTTAAATTATGGATCTTACTGAGAATAGAAGGAAATAAACAAAACCCCTTAAAAAAGTTACACAACATGACATTTTACGTAGTTGTTATAGGCTTATCATTTCATGGTTACTCACGTTCCAATTGAAAACTAATGTCTTTGGTTAAAGGAAAAAAAAAGGAATTAGACACAACAATAAAGACATATAAATGGATTTGCTTTTCTTCTTCCATTGGTTCTGATGTCAGTTAAGAGGAGCTTATAAACTGTGTGTATGGCCAATAGCATCAGAATAAACATAGAGTTTTCCTAAGTGTGAATACTTTGAAGGCTATTTGGGGATATATTTTCTGATTAAAAATTGGTTTAAAAGATGCACGATTATTTTTAGCTTCAATCATCCCACTGTATTTTTTATATTCCAACATCTCTGGTGGCTCCAAGGACTATTTTAACGGAAAATTTAATTATCTGCTGGATCTAAGCTCCAATTCCCTTTAGCTAAAAATTCAGTGTAAATCACAACACTTTATTTTTATATTCAGTGGATATGCTCACACTTATTAACTCTCCTTTAGTGGAATCTGAGAAATAGAAGATTGGTTTTCTATGAGCCAATATAGGACTGTTTTACTGCCAGGGGTAGAAATATGAAAAGAAAAGGATACAGCCTCTGAGGTGTCAGTGTGTTAGGTCAGGGGCATCGCCCTTTGATGATTTGCACCTGACGTGTTTGAGGAGTTCCCCAACTCCAACCCCCACCCTGCCAGCCTTCAGTTCATGACACTGTTTGTTCATGTTGCTAGGGTCTTCTTGTGGAATCTCGGATGCATCAGCTGAATGGCATTAGTAATACCTACAGCCATTTTTAGCTGAATGCTTGTCAAATTTATAATTGATGCTCTTTACGCCTGCCCTTCTCTATTATAAGCAAGAGCCCAACAACTGAATCACTAGTTCATCAATATATTTGTGTGCATGTGTGTATAGGTACTGTTTATGTTGTATGTATACATGAATGTTTTCCCATGACTATAAGGGGCGTAGAATAAGAGAAAACTGACATTCATTTAGTATCTACTCTGGGCAACATCTTGCAGCGTGCATACCCACATGTGCTGTGTCAAATTCATCCTCACAATTCTTTCCAGTAAATTTTAAAATTTTAGGCATTCATCTGAAAATACTTGAGATGTAGAAAGTCATAGTAATTGATAAGAAGACAAACATTTGAACAAAGGGAGTTTTGTGGTCTTTGACCCCTAAAATGTTTTTTCTCCCTTTATCCAAGATGGCAGTCTAAAGAGAGACACTGGTACCATTCTTTACTAACTGTGTGACTCATGACAAAAGTTACCATCCTGAGTTTAATCCCTTTAGAGCACCTCCACATTTTTCTGTTGTGGTTAGGTAACACTGGCAAAATACTCACGGAATTCAAAAATTAGAGTGCCCTGAATGTAAGTTGTAACCTAATATAAGAAATATTGAACTAGTGTTATTTGAAAGTGATGGTGTCACTTCAAAAGAAGAGCTCATGTGGGCATCACAGTAGATACCTCATTAAAAGGCTCTTATAAACTACATATTTCAGGCTCTTCTTCTGATGCAAGAGCCCAGGATAGATGGAGGAACTGGACATCCAGTGTGTTCCTCCAGATTTATCCACTTTGTTGCTTTTTCTTCAATGAACTAGAGGTCTCCTACTCTAGAAAAAGCATTTGTCTCTTTCTTGGACACAGAGAATCCTCAGAGCATTGCAAGGATAAAGGTATGCCAATAAATGATGCTTGGATTCAATCATTCATTCAACAAATATTTATTGAACATCTTGAACTTGAAAAACATTATGATAGACGCTGACAATAATACCAAGATACTATTGATTTCTGCTCCCAGACATATCTAGTCTTGTAGATGTAATAAGACAGATACATAATGCAAACCAGTAATTAATAAGTTCTATAGATGATATGCAGAGAACATTGTTCATTGGTTTTACCTAAAGTTGGCATTAATTTTGAGGGATGGGAGGAAATGGCAGGAAGACACTTCAGTTTGTGGCAAAAGGTGGAAGGGCAGAAAAAATGCTGACATGGTGTTTTTCAGTGGAAGGTTCTTAAAGGCAAGCTGTAGTAGCTGAGCTTAAATTCACATGCAAAATCTCATTCAATAATCAAGGAAGTAGTTAAGATTTTGTTCTACAGACAAGATGATCCGGTAACTGCTTTCAAGAAGAGAGTGTTGTGATTAAATTGCGGCACAGACTGGAAAGAGGGAAAATTTACTGTAATGCTTTTCTCCTTTGATGCACTAAAATGTCCTTTTATACGTTCTGTTATCATTGTCATCACTCAAGTTGGGTTTTGTTCCTCTTTGGTAAATACATGTATTTCTTACTGCCCCTTGACTCCTATCTCTATTGTCTTCCTGCTTGAATACTGTACACAGATTGACTCCTAAAATTAACTCCATCATAAGACCCTCTTACTCAGAAATGTCAGTGACTCTCTTTGCCCACAGAAAATTGTCCAAACATTTGATTAGTCCTCTCCTGCTTCCCAATAGCAACTCTGTCTATTTTCTTCATGTCTCCAGTTACCCCACATCTGTCCTCATTCCATGTCATCTCTTCATTCATTCATTCTACCTTTCCTCTCCTTTGGAATAAGTCTTCAGTTTTATCCATCATTCAGACTTCAGCTAAATTAGCCCCTTCTTTGTAAATACCTTCCTAATGACCAAAATCTCTGCGGCCTTAAATTTGTGTAATTATCATTACCTAATTCACACACATGCACATACACTCCTTTGCATTACAAGAAAAACATTGTTTTTGCATATCTTATTTTATGACAGTACTACAGAACCCTTGTTTGCTGCCGTTTGCTGAGTCCTCATTATATACCAGACATAGTTTTACATGTTTTACATGTATCAACTGATTTAATCCTCACAACATCCCATTTAAGTAGATGTGATCATTATTTTCAATACAAGGGAAGAAACTTGGTTGATCTTTAATAAATATTTCTTGACCTCATAGCATTCATACACATAAAAAAATAGATTTTTCTTCATCAAATAAAAATTGACCTTTACTTAGTCAAATCAATAATCTCCTTTATATATTTTTCTGTCTATATTTTCACCAGGGATGTCAGCTTTCAAGGAATATGAAAGAACATAAAAGCACAAAGAGACTCAGGTGGACTAACCACCCTTTGTCAAGTGCTTTGCTCCTTATTCTAATATTTCTGATTTGTATTCATCTTAGCTTGACTTAAAGAAGACGATCAATTAATTATCTGGAGTCAGTACATTGCAACCTACAACATAAATGAAGCATCCTAATTTTAGCACCTCCTGTTGGATTCCATGTGTAAAATCATTAAATTATAATCAATTGGAAGAATTAAGTAATGTAGAGTTTTGGGTAACTGAGAAGGCTGTCAGACTGTAATCTACTTTGAACTGAATTTTTACTATATCATTCCTGAGTGTGGAAATTGTACTTTATACATGACTTGAACAAAATTTGCTCCATGTCCCTACTTTATTCATACACAAAAATTGTCCCCCAATGATGTTAGAAAACTGGTTTGCATTAACACATCCTTTCATGCTTGTATTAAAGACAGTGTAAGTGGAGGTAAACCTTCCATGATTCATAGCTAAGTCCTTAAACCATGTCCCACTCAACTTTAGAAGGTCTTTGGCAATTTCCTTCCTTTGCTGATATATTTTATCAGCTTTTTTGAGATATCATTGACATACAATAAGCTAAGCATATTTAAAGAGTACAACCTGATGTTTTGACATCTGCATATACCCCAAATCAAGATTATAATCATATTCATCAGCCCTCTAAAATCTCCTACGCCCCTTTGTAGCTTTTCAGCTTTTCCCTTCTCTCTCTCTCCACCCAACCCCAACCCCATCCCCAGGCAACCATTGGTCTGCTTTCTGCCATTTTGGACTAGTTTGTATTTTCTAACATTTTATTAAATAAAATGAAGTTAAATAGCATATATTCTTTTTCACTTCTTCCTTTCACTAAGTATTTTGAGATTCATCCATGTTGTAGCATGTATCAACAGTTCATTCCTCGTACTGTTGTATAGTGTTCCATGGTATGGATATAACATAATTTGTTTATTCATTCATATACTAATGGACAATTGGGTTATGTGAAAGTTTTTGAAAATTACAAATACACAAATGCTATGAACATTTGTGTACAAGTTTTTGAATGGACATATGCATTTGGTTCTCTTGGGTACATACGGAGAACTGGAGTGATGCAGTCATATGATAGGTCAACGTTTAACTTTTCAGGAATTGTCAAACTGTTTTCCAAAGT